CACAAAATGAAATGATAAAAAAAAAAGAACAAAATCAGAAGAAACTAAATTGAGTTAGTTGAAATAAGAGTAAAAGTAAGAATAAGAAGAAAGACGAAAAGGAAAAACAAAAAGCAAAAATGTGTGTTCTTTTTCAAAAACTTTCTTCACCTCTCTTCCGGAAGCTAATGAGACATGAATCATAAATTTATATAAATATTATAATACCGACTTTTTAATTGGATTTTTGAGGGATGAGACGACCTTTGGAAAACCTCATAACAATATCAAATTGGACTAATACCAAATAGGGATAGTATGTAACACTCCAGCTTTTGAAACTTCTTTAATAAGGTCATCTATCTGTTCTGTTTCTGCAATTGGGTTTCATTTAGGTAAGTCAGAACTTTTCAAATAAGCGCTAAATAGAAACTGCAGTTCCTGAAATTCCGATAGATGAGCAGAGCGAAGTCAATAACTTTGTACATGTGAATGGTTAGAAATATAGGCAAAAAAAGACCGTTTTAAGATAGATACCAAAAACTGCAATATTCCTCCAATCTTACAGTTATACTGTGCCAGAGGCTTTACAACTAATTGACGTTATCAATACAAAATTGATCATAAGCGAAACTACTCAAAAAATTATTTTCCATCTAAATTTTAGTTTCTTTTTTTTTTGATTCAAGTTTAAATAATCAGCATATCTGGCAGTTAACAGTGGGTTCCAGCAAAGGAAATAAATTTTGAATTAATTAAGCAGTCACTGGCAGTTAAATGAATATAATGCAGAAAGAAGGAAACGAGAAATAAATTTTTTATACTCGAAAATTTGTAAAATTTTTCATTATATTTGCAGTAAATTGAATAAGAGACAGAAAGGAAAAATATTTTTGAATACTTGCAAGAAGTATTGATTGTTTTGTTCCCCTCTTTCAACCATTTTTTCCAGACCTCTATCAACCCAGAATCACTCCACACCCCCACCTCTCAGTTGCGTACTACCAAAAAGAAAATACCCCTGGGATGACAACTGTTTGGGCAAAAGCAAAAAGCTCAAATACGCGTTTACTGCTTAATCCGTCACAGCAATGGTTTGTCCACTGTGCTGTTATTGGCTGTTTTTAACCCTCCTTTTGAAAATCACTGTTTTTAACCAAAGATATTTCCAGATACCCAATCTTCAATCCTTCTGACTATGTCTGCTTCAAAACAACCATTAACTAACCAAAAAGTGATACTAATCTTCCAAAAAATCAAACGGGGACCAAAACTTGTCATCATTTTTTTATTTTTCTGGCCTGTAATCATCAGTCTTCAAAGATCGTAATACTTAGGGCTCTGAATGATAATAAAATTGAGGTTGTCCACTTTTGTTTTGCTGAGAAATATTGTACACTGAATTGCAGAGGACCTGTTCACCATTTTATGTGTTGTCAACCATTATGATTTCTTAGCAAAGTTGTTTTGTTTTAAACAACGTTTAAAGGTCACTTTGGTAGAATTTATGCAGTAAAATGGTAAAATGTGGTACATTAAACAATGGCAGTAAGCCCGTTCAAAAAGCACGAGAATTTTTTAATATCAGTTGTTTTCAGTCAGTTTTAACAGCATGTTTTTTTCACTAGGTATAAAAACTAAAAACACCCCCACTGTTTGGAAATATTTCATAAGGCAAAGAAGCACGCTTGAACAAAAAACTAGTTTTTACGATCTTGTTGAGGATGAATCCTCGAAAAATGGTTTAAGAGCTTTAAGTGAACGACTGAATGAATCAGTCCGTACCGCAAAGCAGTGTTATGATCAAAGGATTTTGCAGCATTACATCAACCATAACTGCGTTAAAACAATTACTAGGTAGAAAGGATTTTTCCGTAATCTCCTTTTTAAAAAGCAAAAAATTTTTTGGGTAGAAAGCTTAAAAGTTAAAATCTCTTCAAGAGTACTTATTTCTGATCCCAACTTAACAGTAAGTATTTCGATATATGTCAAAAAAATGATTGTAGTTCTGCTGATCAACTAGTTTTAAAAAGTACATTTTAAAAATTAGAAAAATAAACCATTTTATTTACTGCTTCATACAACCATGTCGTTTATCACCAAAAAAAAATTAAGTTTTGAACAAGATTTCTTGGCGAATATTTCCTGAAAGGAGAAGTCACTAGACTTTTCTTCAAATAACTTTTCTGCAGACACGTTCTGTTACTCCATCGTGTTTACAACTAACAAAAACAGTTACTTACAGTTCAATTCACAATATTCCAGAACTTTCATGTGTTTTTTCGTTTTTACAAGAGTATTTCTGCTAAAACTTCCTACCAGAAACACAAAAAACCGGAAATGCTGCATTCTTAAGTTTTTGTTCAAGATCTTAAACAAATAAAGATGAAATATTTGTAAAGAAAGAATGTACTTTTTTTTTGTAATGAAATTTTTCATGAAAAAAACACCTCCTTTTAACGTCGAGTTTTTTAATTTAATGTGCTACGAGTTTATCTGCTAAGCCAAAATTTTATACACTTTAAAGTTTTACAAAGAAAAAATAGCAAAAAGACTTCAAAATTTTTGCATTTTTCTACGAAAATCACAGCGAAAAATTGAATTTAGTAAAGACCTGCTGACAAGAATATTTACAGGTGATAAAAAAATAGAATATAAAGACCATATATTGTCGGTTTACACCCTCTAAACCATCTTTTCAAATATCATATGGTAAAACAAAGACTTTAACTTTCATATTTCAAATTAGCCACTTTTTCCCAAAAGAGTTCGTTTTGCTTAATAGTTCAATACAGCTCTCCTCCGCAAAAAAAAAAAAAAAAAAAAAAAAAAAAAAAAAAAAAACCCCGACATTCAAAGTTGTTTATTCAAGAGTTTTAATTTGTACTAAAATAAAATGTAAAAAAAATGTAGCTTTTTCTACCTATTAGACCAATAATCACCAGCAAAAACAATAAAAATCTGCACCTTAAAAACTATAACAATAAAAAAGCGGAAAACTATCATCCCTTTAAAGATGTAAACCTGAAAATGCCAACCAATAAAAAGCTGGATAGCTCTGACAAAAAAAATGGCAAATAAAAATGTTCTAAATCACAAAATGAAAAAAAAAATTAATTGGTTTCTTTCAAACGCAGGCAATTACACTAAATGGTAATGGATTAAACTAAAAAAAAGACGGTTTTGCTAGGTTGTAACTTGTCAAAAAAAACTAATTTAACGCAGTGTGGTCGAAATATAATCTACTAATTAAGTAACTTAATTAAAATTAAATGAGAAGTAAAGAGAAAAAATTGTTGCATAAGCGGTTTTCCAACAATTAATGAAATTAATTCAGAGCTGAGAATAAAAAAAAAGCGAGGATATTATATGCTTGAATCAAATTTAGGTTTGGCTGCATTTGTGTAATAATACCCTAAACTTAATCACGAAGATGAAATGTTTGTGTAAAAGGATCAGATTTTTAAGAAGTAAATACACCGTATAGTTTTTCAAACCTTTTGAAAAGCGATATACGATGAAGACGTTTATGTGAGGAACGCCTGGTGATAAAAATGCTTTAGAAGATAAAGCTCAAGAGAACCGTAGGTGGAAAAAAGAAAGAATTTGTAACATACGGTAGTGGTATTTAAGAGTCGATCATCATTTGGAAAGTTAACAGTGACAGTATTTGAATCCAACGAAGACCGTCTTCGAACAGGCGTTTGAGCACGCGAATTTACATAATAATATTCCTCTTGATCACGTTCTTCTAGTTCAAGTCTTTCCGTGGTCCCATCAGATGTTATAATTGTTTCCTCACGTAGTCGTCTCGAAACTTTTCTTCCATCAGGGTTCGATTTGGGTTCATATCGTGTCATCATTAAACGCCCAGCGTTCTTTAGAAATCAAAACCAAATTTTTGTCGTTTCTCTAATGAAACAACAGTTCAGAATGTGTGTTAAATTCGGCAAAATACAGGGAAAGCACTGGAATTGCTTGAAGCCTATTTGCGAGTAAATACTGGGGAGTACTCAACAGTGCCCGAAAATTGTTTACGAAAACAAAATTGCTAATAACTTAAGCACACATTACCACAACAAAAATTCTGCTTTAGAAAAAGTGATGTATTACTGAAAATATGTGAATGATTCAGAACCATTAAAGAGCCAAAAGAGGAACGAAAGCTAACCAGCCTTTGAATCAAAGATGATTTTACCTATCAGACTTTTCAAACAACATCGGTTTTTTTCCACTTTTTAGGTTACAAAAACTAAATACTAATTACCCGTCTCTGAGTTCTGACCAACATGTTTTGGAGAAACTTTATTTCTGAAATTAATTTTATTTGCGGGACCTTTCAACCCAACCACGGACTACAAAGAAGTATGCAAAAAGAATTAATAAAATTATTATTTCAAAAATAAAACACACTTTTTACTGTCTAATTATTAGAATGCCCATATAATACTTCAGAAGTTCGGACAATCATCCCCTTTCCAACACGAAAATAAGTGTTTGGTCCGCACTAAGAGATCGTTTTAAGAAAATTTGAAAGAGGTCCTAAGTTCTTTAATGGCGATAAAAATTACTAATTTTTAATGAGCTAAAAAAGTTTTTAAAATAGTAATTAGAAAGCGCAACGAAGTCAAATAATGTATGCAAAAATACTAAAGATTAGTAGAACTGTTTTTGGCTTTCTAACAGTAATAAATAAAATTAGTGTACCTAACGTATTATCTTGATAATTAACGAAACTCTGTAACTGATAGACAATAAGAGCAGTGGAAGTTTATTGTTGGTGCAAAACTCTTGTCTTAGTTCCAAGAAGTTTTGCTTCATACTGCTTTCACCACTCAATTTAAAGTGGCCAAATCTAGTTACATGAAAGCTTAAGTTCAGTTGAACTAAGAATCAAAACAAGTATTTATACTTGATACTTAAACAGAGATGAAAAAGAAACTACGTCATTGCCTTTCAATACTGAATATAGAAAGAAATTAAAGCAGCTTACCGGTCTTAGCCTGAAACCCTTAGGCTTGTAAATCACTGACCGAAGTACAAGAAGGGATGACTAAGAGACCAGCCCTTTGGTCTGAAATTTTTGCAAAACCGTTTAAAACGCAAAAACAACCTGAACAGTTCATTACATGCGAAGCAAAAACTATAAACAAATATACAATTCTAGTGTCATCAAAAGAGCCAAAAAAGATTTTAACCAAGAAGAATTACTAAAATTCGTCAGAAGTAGCAATGTTGAACCAGGCAAGGCAAAGAACAAAAAGCCTGAAGATCCAAATTCCTTATATAGGTGCTTCCCTTTAGCACCCATCGTTGTCATAGCGAAGCCTTTAGATCTTTGCCTTACGAACTGCGTTCAAATAATTTGAACCGTTTTCGTTGCTTCAGTTACGGATTTCTTTTCTACATTTTCTCTGACTTCTATTCAGCTGTATATAGTAGATAATGTTGTTGTTCGATTTCGGCTGGCAACGTCGAGAAGTCTTTGCACCTATTCGACGCTTTCTCTTATTCTCACAGCAAGCAGCTCTATTGGCAAACCTGTCGCCGCTCCATCAATTTCTGTTCAGTTTTTGTTGATTTAAGCAACACCGCCGCTGACTGTTGTTAGTTGGCTTTGATGGATGTTCTACATCACTGGTTGTTTGTATTCGCGCATACCTCACCACATCTTCCATTTTCCTGATTCTTGTCGCGAACCAAACATCAATGTTATTATTCTTCTTCGTTCAATAACCTTGTTCAAAGTTAAGTAACTTTTTTTTTATCCTATTTATGATGAATTTTAAATTAATGGTATAGTACACAAAGAAACATAGCAAATGTAAACCAAAAGTAACACCTCTTTTAGCACTTCCGAAATCTTATACATCACCGTCTGAAATTAAAAATATTTTGATACTTTTATTATTATCTTCTTCTTTTCATAGGGAAGTCAGAGTGATTTAACTTGATGATTTTGGTAACCTATCCAGGTCAGCTCTAAAACTGTCTTTAACCATAAACTTTAAAAGCGCTTTCAATTGGTCCATAAAAGGTGACATCGAAAATAAAGTGCGCGAAATTTAAGTGGATAGTGGGTGCAAGTTTAAAAGACTGATTCAAGAAGAAGACTATGAGGTTTACCTAACTTACAGGTAATAATAGTAATAATAGGAAGTAAGTGCAAAAGTTGAAGAAATCGACGAAAAAGACGCATAGAAGAGGAAAAACCGTTGCAAACAACGTACAATGCTACAAAACTTATTCCGTATGTCCGTCCAGTTGAAGTTGGAGTGTTGCTCTGTTTACATAATTTGCTTCAATCAACTTTATTTGGTTCGTTTAGCTGCAATGTTTGCTCACCAACTCTCTTACAATACAATACGTTTTCAAAAGCTAAGCTTAGAGGGTAAATTAACAGAAGTTAAAATACAGGCGAACAGAACTTCAAAAAAAGGTAGAAAAATTTTTTTTATTCACCTCACTGTGTACTCAACCGCTCAATGCATATAGGCGGATAATATAAGTGACTGTCGGGATCAGGTGTACAGTCTAACAAGGAAACAACAATTTGCCTAAGGCATTCTGCAGGTTATCGCTTCAATAAACTTTATTTGATATAATTTTTAGTTGGATGAGCAACCGTTTAAGGTGCAGTGGTCAATTTGATTGTATATAGCAGCAAAAGGAAGTTGAAAGTTGTTGACTTTCCGTCAAAGTTTATCGAATGCTATTACGTCGACGTTCTCTAATCATGAAGTTTGTTAAGCTGTTTTTGTAAGATTAGGTGAAACAAAAGCAGTCCACTTCAAAGACAGTTAACGTAACAAAGTAGAAATAATCTTACATTCTTCACTGTTGTTTTATTTCCAGTTTTTTTTTTGCTTTTTTTTAATACTTGTTTTTTTTTTTTTGTGCATCTTTAATACTCATACAGAACTATGGTATTTAATAGTAAAGAGAAAAAAAAACCAAGAGGAAATGCTTAACAATAAACGATGCGAACTGGATAGTATAAAATTGTCAAATAAACAATTTTTTTAATCCATTCATTTCCAATCAGTAATTGTAAATGCAAAAAAAAAGAACCCGAACCATACGACAACTGTTATATGTAAATAATTTTTTTTTTTAGTTCTACTTTCTTTTCAAAATCAATATAGACAAAAATTTGTTTTTTTTTTTT